GGTGTCAAAGGGATCAGGTATAAGGCATCATCAGAACAAAAAATCTTACATAGTGAATGACGGGGGCAGTGCGGAGTGGAGACCCAAAGCCTATTTGTAGGCCACTGGAGATCCCCTTGCAGAGGGGTCTGGGGAGGAGACGAGCTAGACAGGGTGCGATGTAGCAAAGATGAAAAATACGACTTTCCTCTAGTTCCTAAATGCTTCCTCTGCCCCCCACTATCATGATCTCAATTCTACCTTGCAAGTCTGGCTAGACCAGAGGGTGTACACTGGTATAGATAGGAACTGGAAACATAGGAAATCTAGGGCAGATGATCCCAGTGGTGTGAGTGGTGATACCGGGAGCATAGAGGAAGAGTGGGTAGGAAAGAAGGAACTGTATGTGACCTCCTCCCTGGGGGACGGGCAACCGAAAAGTGGGTGAAGGGAGACGTCGGACAGGGCAAGATATGACAAAATAACAATTTATAAATTATCAAGGGCTCATGAGGGAGAGGGGAGCGGGGAGGGAGGGGAAAAATGAGGACCTAATGCCGGGGGCTTAAGTGGAGAGGAAATGTTTTGAGAATGATGAGGGCAATGAATATACAAATGCACTTTACACAATTGATGTGTGCATGGATTGTGATAAGAGTTGTATGAGCCCCTAATAAAATGATTGAAAAAAAAAAGTTTTGAAATCTGATAGTGGAAGGCACTCTACTTTGTTTTTTCTTTTACAGAGTGTTTTATTTATCCTTTCCATATAACGTTGGTGATTAGTTCTTCTATTTCTTTGAAGACTTATGCTCAAGGTTGGATTAGATTTCTATTAAATTTATAGAGCGTTTTTGATGATACTGAAATTTTCACTATATCAAGTCTTCTTATTCACAAGCATGGAATATTAATTAGGTAAATATATTTTCATTTTTAGTAGAAGTGTTTTGTAGTTTTTTGGGTATAAGCCTTTTGTTTTATTAGTTAGATTTATTATTGAATATGTTACCTTTTGAGTAATTACTTTAATGATTTTGTTATTTTCATTTCCTTTTTTGGAGTCCTCTTCTTTATTATACAAGAATATAATTGATTTTTGTGTATTGCTTATAGCCTTCTACATTGCCATTTTTTTCAATTAGTTCCAGCGATGTTTTAATTAAATGCTATCTATAGGATTGTCATCTGAAAATAAGGAGAATTTTATTTCCTCAACAAAATAAGTCATTGATTTTGTAAAACATCATCATGTGATCTCAAGCATCATTTCTGTCACCAATGACATACTTCCCTTTTTCTTTGTTTCAAATTCCTCATTCCAATTTCTAATCATTATCAATGCATCTCAATTGCATCTTTGTCAATTTCAGAATGAAGACGTTGATGGAATTCTTCAATTTCTTTATCACTAGTTTAAGTAGTTGATGAGGAAATTCAAATAGTTTTATTAACTGGATTTTTTTGTATGTGTACAGATATTCTATCACAGACAGCATTGCACACCAAGATAGATTTCAAATGCTCTTCTGATGAAGAATATGATGCCATTCCTCTTGAATTTTTCATTTCTGGTTGAGTAAACCATATGATTGTCTTATTCAAAGCGAATCGATACAAATTCCTTTCTGCTCACAAATGCGTAGGATATTTATCTTTATTTGTTCCACTGTATTTTTGATGACTTCAAAATTTCTAAAATTCATAACTTGTACATTCCCTTTCTGACTATTAATTAATGTTTACAGCAGTTTCTTTGCATCTTGAATAATGCCCTAGGAGAAAATGAAGATCCTAAAGCCCGTATTCCATCTGTGTCATCACAACCACCTCTAGTGTGAGAAGCAGCTCTTTCTTAGTGTTATTTTTATTTCCTTCTGACCTACATCAGACAATGTTTCACTACTGTCCTTAAGTTGTTCCATGTCTAATCCTTCATAAACAGACAGCCAATTCCTTCTTCACAGTCTGTTCTCAATCTGGAGGCTCCATTGAAATCTATTTGCCTTGCATGACCCTGTTGGTATTTGAAATACAAGTGGCATAGCTTTTAGTATCATAGCAATGTGTAAACCACCATAATATGAAAAAGTGATGAGCAAGTGGTGATTTTGTTCCCCTTAGGCCTATTATTTGACTGAGAATTGAGTGATAGTGATGAAATCAGTTCTAGGCATGAAAGGTCATTAAAAGCCATAGTCTTAGGACTCCACCTATATCTCACTATTATTATTATGATGATGATTTTGAGTTTTATTCCACACTATCCACCTCCCTATTTCTATACTTTCATATATGATCCCTTTAAAAGCAGTTGGGCACCAATTGCCATGGTAGCGGTCTTTTAAAAACAACGTCTCAAATGGGTCCCTGAGAGATCAAATAGATTAAAGTAATGACAAAGTTGTGAGAATTGCTGTTTTCATGCTTTTTAAAAATTAAATATCTCACTTTGATTGTAGATTCTCTGATTAGGTTCTACTGACATATGGTGTAAAGTAACTCATCGGACAGGGCAAGATATGACAAAATACCAATTTATAAACTATCAAGGGCTCATGAGGGAGGGGGGAGCGGGGAGGGAGGGG